GCTGGTAGTTTCGAACCGCTGACCTTAAGGTTCGCAGCCTGAATCGTAACCACTACGCTACCAGAGCTCCTTATGCATGGTAGTGGTGGTGGTTATATGTCGTGGAGTCGGTTCTGACTCATACCGACCCCGAATAGGTTTTCCGCGGCTGTAAATCTTTACAGGAGCAGAAAGCCTCATTTTTCTCCTGTGGAATGCCTAGTAGTTACACACGTATTTGTAATTCAATGCATGTGCATAAAAAATTTTAACTTACCACCTTAAAACAAACTATTACATACATTTACAAGAGCTCTTTTTCGAAATTACTTTATAAAAAATATCACTTTTTAGGAATCTGAAATTTTCCTCCAAAAATATCATAGCGTTTAATACTCAGGTAAATACTCCCACGGAGTCCTGGTGTGGTGTTGTGGGTTAATGCGCCAGACTGCAAAGCCGTGTGAACTGCAAAGTCAGCTGTTCAAGCTTACCAGCTGCTCCTTGAAAACCCTATACAGGGTCGCTATGGGTCGGAACCGACTCAATAGCACTTCACAACAAATACTCCCGCCATCAGTAGTGAAGTTATGTGGGTCTCTGCATCCTCATCAACAGTGAGTATCATTATTAAAAAGCAAAAAAAATAAAAATACTTTATGATTTTGACAGGTAAAGACAGGCACTTTATACATGAAATTCACGCATAGACCCAGGTGACTGGGAATTCGATCTTCTTTTATATTAATCTTTTATCTCCTTGTACCTCAATCACCCTGTTTGAAGTGCAATATTTAGTTACAGCTTTGTTAGTTTAATAAGTAATTGGCGTGGCTCACTCTGAGAAGTACTGGACTGGGAACCACAAATCTGCGGTTCAAGCCCGTCAGCCCTTCTACAGTAGAAAGATGAGGCTTTCTGCTCCTGCAAAGATTTAAAAAGCATAACGAACTCTATTCGGGGTCTCCATGAGTCACTTGACTCAGTGGCACTTAGCAACAACAATTGCTTAATAAGGAGACCTTTTGGCTTGTGGCCAAGCATTTAACTGTTGAGCCACCCGGGTTCCTGAAGAAGGAATGAGCACAGACTGCCAACCATTTCTCAGCAATATTTTTTTTCTGCCAAACTTACTTTGATAGTACTCTTAAAACCTCAAGGTCGGTGGTTCAAAACTACCAGTTGTTCCACAGGAGAAAGATGAGGCTTTCTGCCGTAAAGATTTACAGCCTCGGAAACCCTGTACAGGGTCGCTATGAGTCAGAATCGACTTGACGGCACTCAACAACAACAACATTTTATCCTGTAATCCACCTGACATCCTCACCACCTGGATCACTGTTGCCACATGTATCCCTTCTTTGACACTGATATAATTTTGATCTTCAGTTGACCTCCCAGCTCCTTTGAATTCATTGTTGTAGTTTTGTTCTGTTCTGGACTCTGCTATCTGTCGACTGACTTCCATGTGGTGTTGTCATGCCTGTCAATCTCTGATTGTTGTCTGTTCTTGTTGGTTTTCAGTCCAAAGAACTCCCTTTA